ATCAAACCATTTAGATTTTTCTGCAGAATATTTCCAGAGAACTAAATGAAATTAGCAACGCCATTTAAACTAGACCAATTGAAGATCTTCCACCCCAGTGTTCAATTCAAATTAAATTAGCATAGCGCTCTATGTAAAGTGCTGTGATGTAAAATGCTATATTCTGAGTGGCTGAAAATTTGAACTCAGAACCAAGTTAACATCCTCCCCCTAAACGTGTTGGTTGGGGGGGGGGGGGGGAGGGGGGAGGTTAACTTGGCTTACACCACAGAGGTTTTTAAGGCTGTACGATTTAAGTTATGAAGTTTTGGCGCTGTGTCGTCAAGTGTTAAACACCGTCGACTGCAGCCAATTAAGGGTCTAGCGGGCCTACGGGGAAAATATCGAACAGAACATACACAACAGGCTTCTGACATGCGTCTTTTCACTTGAAAAAAATTAACGTCGAATTAGAGGAGCAAAAATATTTTATTTGAAACAAAAAGCTTTCACTTAAAAAGCTGAAGACTAAACAAATATCAGTTTAAAAGTTCAAAATTTTTTGAAAACGCGCAGGTTATCACATACTCACCGAATTGATTGGAAAGATACCGCACCTCAGTTTGGGCGGCAATCAAAATGAAAAATGAGGTCTATCATAAAAGTGAAATAATTTGAAATATTTTTCGATCGAAAATTTCCGAAGATATAGCTATCAAAAAAATGTCAGGCATATTTCAAATCCAGTTGGTTTTCAAAAGCTCTTCAAAAGAAATTAAGTTAGAGATCAACCTCAGAAAAACTGATAAGACTATCTTAAGAGCTATCTTACCTACTTAAGTAGCTTCGGGCTCCAAACAAGAATATCCGGTCGCTCTGCAAGTAGCGCAAAAAGTTGTGATCACGGTAATAAATGCAAAAAAGTGATTTTTTTTCGATCTAAAAGTTTTGTCATATTTTTCAAAGAAGGCGTTGATAGAGAATTAAGAAATTGTATTAAAACGCGCTCAAATATAAAATTTCTCCGATTTTCAGTGGCTGGAACAAAAAGAGTTCATTTTAAAATTAGAGTTGAGATAAAAATGCGATGAAGTCCTGACAAGACGATGTCAATGCAAAAGCGAAACCTAACGACACATGTTTTTATTAAGACTTCTTATTTGACTTAGATCTGTAGACAGCAATCAGCAGTACCTCAATGAAATTTTTGAGTTATGAAATTCAACCAAAACTTGAAAACGAATGTTTTGTAAGCGACTCAAAAATTTCTAACGATTAGAAACTTTTGAGTCGCTTTCAAAACATTCGTTTTCAAGTTTTGGTTTTTCAAAATAAGTGCATATGATACCCTAGGTGCCCAAAGAAGCAAATCAGTGTCCTCTGGCTGATAAAAATATTAATTTGTATAATAGTAGCAAAGAGGTACTTTTTGGGTGGTGGGGTTGTCAAATCCGTTGAAAGGGTCCAACATTATTTTTGTTTGTTATACTTTGAGAAAAAAATCTACACTATCCTAGTCGATCAAGGGAGGTTATCTTGCAAGATCTTAACTCTGGAAATTAACTCTGGAAAAAAGCACTCTTCCGACCAGATTTGTTTTAGAAGCAGAATCTTACTTTCAACGGCTCTAACACGATGCTTCTCTTGGCTACTAGCGAGCAACTTTGATATATCCAAAATAGCTTGGCAAAAATTCAAGCTAGGTTGGGTTTTCTTGTCAGCAATGGATGCAAAATTCTTCAATAACGCTTATATAAGCAAAAAAGTTAGGCTTGTTCTGAATCAAACTTCTAGCTAAATTTGTAAAATATGTAAAACTTTTTTTTGACACTTACTGACTTACCGTAGTTTTCACTATTATAATAAAATTTTAATAAGAAACTAAAACTGAACGACAAAAAACAATTGTAATTTTAATTCCTGAAGTTTCCATCAAAAGACACCATCAAACGACACCATCAAAACTTTCACTGACGGCTTTTTTGCAGGCTGAAAGGCGCTCTAACTTACTTGAAACGCTTTTAATCATCTCTTAGAAATACGTGGGTTCTTTCAACCCCTTCAATTAGCTTTGGCATGAAATGGTTTGATTAAATATATTAGAGTGGAAAAAAATCACTTATCTTTGTAGAGAAAAAAGTAAGCTGAGTCGTTAGCTTTACTTGGTTTTACTCGGAGTTTCAGAAGTAAGAAAGAGTGAATGTATTCAAGTCGATTTTTTTGAAAATTTAAAAGAATATAACAATATTATTGAGCTAAATCTGACGAATTTTACAAATAAAAAAAAGGGCAGAAGTGACATTTAGCGCTCTTTTTGAACAGTTAAAAAATGTTGATTAAAAACTCCCATTTTTGCCATTTTTTGCAAGCTCTCTTCTCTCAAACTATATTGGTATATTGGCACCAAATATTCGGATAGGAAACAATTAAATTCGATGATGTTCCAGAAGAGTACCAAACTAAAGGGTGGCTAGGTTGTCGAATCTCTGAGAATAAGCGTAACACGACAACTCGCAACAAACGACAGCCCGCATGCAATGACACATTCACAATGTACTCACAGCCTCAGTCTTGACTCACAATGTACTCACAGCCTCAGTCATTGCGTTGCGGTTTTCCACGAGAGGGTAATATTTTATACAAAATCTAGAGTCGGCGAGTTTAAACCATAAGTCTAAGGATTTTACATTAATTTAAGATGATTTTTAAACGTTGCGAGTTGTCTTTTGTTACAAGTTGCCTTTTTTGAGAGCCAGAAATGAAGCAGCCAAATGTCCAAATTCTCCTTTGACGCAGACCCCATTAGTCTAAACCGTCAATCTTTTGAAAGACGCAACTATAATCGAAATGATTTCACTGATGAAAAAGCAACAAACTGAGAAAATATATTACGGAAATTTTTGCATCGTGGAAACAGTTAATCAAAACAGTCAAAATTTATATTACGACTGCTACTATATCGATGATGCCACTTTCCCGGAAGGTGACTTTTTACCAGAGCGACGTTTTACCAGCAAATTTTAAAAAAAATGGGCTTGTTACGAGACTTGATAAACACATTTGGTAGAAAGAGTTGATGACACCGTTTAGTCTGAGTAAATACAAAAACGCGCTCGCTTTTAAGAAAAAATTGCTCGGACCATTTGAAAAATGGGGAGGAATTTTGTACTCCGGTGTGTTTTAGCTTTTATTTTTTTCCACGCAAAATCAGGTACCATAAAAAATCATTGGAATGGGTCCAGTGATATATCATATCAAAGCCTATTCAGTCGTAATCCGACGGAATTAAGAATTTTTTTTAAGAAAACTTTTTGTGCCTAGTTTCAATTTTACACAAATAAAATTAGTTTTTGGAATTTTTTAGCGCCATTTGCGCCATTTGAGGAATCGAAGTCTTCAAAAGTTTAAAACTTGTTTGCAAAAAAAAACATTTTGAAGAATTTTTGAAAAATTTTTATGATTTTTTCGAGCAAATAAAGTGAGCTAGCAGGCTTATTTAATTTCAATTTGAGCAGTTTACAATGACTTTTTGTGCCCAAACTTAATTTTTGCACAGCCATTTACGCCATTTTTAACGCCATTTACACTATTTGAGGAATCGAAATCTTCAAAGTTTTAATAGTAATAAAAGTTGTTAGCATAAAAAAACAGTCAAAAATTTTTATGATCTTTTTGGAAATTTTTGTTCGCTTTTCTAGTCAGTTTTCTAAAAAAATATATTTCGTCCATTTTGCTTATTTTGCCCATTTTGCTTTTCTTTCGTCCATTTTGTTTTTCTTACTATTGCTGTCGAATAAACCTAAGCTCTAGTTTTTTTTGGTCAGAACTTTTTATCACACCAGGTAGAAAGAAATTACCCTAATTTGAAATAAAGTTTGTTGTATTTTCTAAGACTATGGTCGGAACATTTTGTTCTACTTGCAAAGCAGCCGGCTATTCTTGTTGTTATTTATAATTACTCGCTACCCTTAAGCAAACAGTCCAAAATTTAGAAAACAAAAACAACTCGTATAGATCAAAACATATAGGTAAACCAAAACAAAATTGACAATTTTTCAATGAAAAATTTTTTGAAAAAAAAAGAGATAAATGGCATTTCTATCGGTGCAGACAGTAAAAGTTTCAGAATACAGTGCGTCTTTGTAAAAAAAATTGACATGTTCTGCATTCATTTTATGGGTTTTTTGTGAATGTTTTTGTTAATGACAAAACCACCTACAGTGCTGATTTAAAATATCCAGAAAAAGAACTCATTTTTTGAAAAAATTGGGTTATTTTTAGACAAAAAAGATGAGGACAAAAGTTCCTTAATATTTTAGCAAAATTGCAATTGCACTTTTTATATATCGAAATTCGGGCCCAAAATGCTAACCCAAAAGCTGATAGTTTTTGAGGTTTTAGTTAATCAAAATTTATTCTAAAACTACTGATTCGATTTCTGACAATTTATACTAAAAAGAAAATTTTTGAAGGCCAGCACAGTTTAAGAATGGTATAATATCTATAAAAATGTCCAAAAAGTTCAAAAATAGTCCAAAAAGTCCAAAAATTAAAAAAAAAACGTAATTTTTTATAGTGAAAATGACATTTTTTGTCTTCCAAACGAAAAAATACTGACCTAACTATACTGAGAAAGTTAGAAGTTGCTTAAACTTTGTTCGGCTGCGTAGAAAGAACATTTTTCAGCAATTGAATCTACAGTTTTTTCGTAAATTTTGATTGACTAAATAAACTCAAAAATTATCTTTTTTTTCGGTAAGAACTTGAACCTGATTGTAGCAAAACAAATTCAACTACATTAATTCTGCTATACTCTAAGCACGCTTTGTCTTCATCATGTTGTCTACAGTCACCCGCATTTGAAGAAAATGCGGTTTAAAAAGTTTTATTGTTTTGTCTGAGTAATTTAAATCAAAACTTTGAGTAATTTAAATTAGCCCTGTTTTATATATACGTTAAAGCCTAACTTCTAAAAAATCAAAAAGTGAGTTTATCCAAATAAATCAAATACATATACTTACCGATGGTTTCTGAGTTGGGGTTGCCAAATATGACTAAATTGACAATTTGCTATAAATTTTGCGTGTTTATTAGCTTTGCTTCCAAATTCATAAATCAGACAGAGATGATAATTCCGATCCAAAAAAAGAAGCAGTTTTTTGTTTCAGTAGGTAAAAAACTGTGAATTGTGAAATGAACTTGCCAACGGTGCCCAACTTTTATGCTAATCAGGATCAAAACCCAATCATAGAGTTATATCTAGCTCGACTAGTTAGTTATTACAGACTGGGCTTAAAAGTGCCAGCGACTAATTAAGTCGACAACAATCAGTCACTGAAGATTGTCAGCCAAGATCTTCAAAGAATGTCAGCTTTAATTGACTTTAACATCGCTTGTCAAAACATACAACTGGTGCTGCACCCACAACCCTTCAAATAACCACTGATAAAAATTGCAAGCCAGGAATATTACAATTTATAAGATTATATTTGTTAACTTGCGTTGTCATTGGTTCGATGCGATTTAATGATCCATCAATTTAAAACAGATCAGTTTATCATTAATTATCTTACATTTTCACCGTTTTCAGCAGTTCTGAAAATGCATAATTGGAATAAATTGCTGACGCACAAAACAATTTTTTGATAGGTTGTTATTAAAAAACTGCGTTCCTCCATTAAATGAGACTGGCTGCCAAAAACTAGTTCTTAAAGAAGACAAGATTAATTTTGGTTGGAAAGATCGATTTCATTGTAAGATTAAGTAAGCATAGGGTCACCTCATGTGGTAAAAGGGTTTTATTCAAATGAAATGCTTGAGTTTCACTCAATGGAAAAGTGACACATTGAAATAAAAGTATTTGTCGGACGAAACACAAAACGAAGACGTGTAAGCAAAATGAAGATGATCAAGGTACTTTTAACTCAGTATGTTTATTAATGTCTTTTCTCGAAAAGAAAGAATTTTGAAAACTTTTCGAAAATATTAAGTCCGTTATTTTCAGCCCTCTAAAAGTTTTTTGGGTTTTCGACCCATTTTAGGTAAAATTTTCTGAGCTTTAGATTAATCTTGCAAAAAAGAGGAAAATGTTTTCGCAGTTATTATAATATTTGATTAAAAAATTCCCTTTCACTGGCTCGCGCTCTCCGAGGCAAAATGCCACTTAACTGTCTTTCGTCTTCATCAAAGATGCTTTAGAAAATGGATTTCGTAACACTGGCCGGAAATTCGTCCGCTAAAACTGGCCGATTATGTGCACGATAAAAAAAAAGACAAGGACGCCTAGCAAAATTGACAAGGGATGAACGGCGGAGCCTCACGCAAACCAAAAAAAAACTACCCAACCTTCGCAGCTGAAGAAGCCGTCAAAAGTTTAGAAAGAAAAAAAATATATCAAAATCTTTTCCAGAGCAGTTCTGAAGCAATTGAAGAAAGCTAGGCTTGACAAAATGAAGCGAATAATTAAGCCCTTTTTAAAAAAGAACACAAAATTTTTTAAAAAATGAAAAAAAAAATTGAGTTAAATTCTACTTTTGATAATGGCGTCTTTGCGAATTTGATAATGAATATTTATGATAACGCCTTAACTGCCGACGAGTGTCAGTTCTACCTGCACTGTAACACTCAAAAAAACTGGACAAAACGAGAAATGCGGATCAAAGTTCCAGTACCGAAGTGTTATGATCTGGGGTGCACTGTCGGAAAAAAGACTGTATTTGACAATTGTTGAGGAGGGCAATATCGACGACCGAAAGTACTGTTTGGTCCACCAAGACTTCTTGTCATAGGCCAACGCGCTTTTCCCAACAAGTTGGAGTTGGGTTCTCCAACAAGATGGTGCTAGAGCGCATACATCAAATTTCACAAAAGAATGGTGCCAGGACGATAATGTAGTCTTAAGTCAGTGACCTGCAAACTCCCTCGCTTTTTCGCCAATTGACAGTTATAGGAAGTAATTGAAAGATAAGGTAGAGATGAAGGCCCCAGAAACGAAACAACAACTCAACTCAGAAATTCAGGCAGGTGCTGGTCGGTAAAAACGGGAAACAGAAGTCTGTTTGATGAAATCTCTGCACAAAAGATTTGAGTTCTGTGTAGTCTCAGAAGGAGACAAGATTAACTATAAAAAAAATTTTTGTCTATCTCCTTACCAAAATTCATGTTTTTAGTGTTATTAGTTGCCGAGAAATTTTTGTTCATAAAAATTTTATGTCGCGGGGTATACAAAAAAGTTGATACGAGAAAACAATCTGATTTAAAATTTGATGTGACGTAGTAAAAACGAGTAATTAATTTGAGTTTCCTTTTCATTTTCCTTCCAACTAAATTCTACAACCACTTTTTAAAAATCTTGGTTGTTCCGACTATCGGCAGACTATTTGCGACGCATTATAGAGTGATGGGAAGATTTGTGCTTGTTTCATTTCTTCAAATAAACTTCTAGTTCTTAACTAGCCAATTTTCAACAAATTTGCTATAGCATCCGCATTTTTTTGGTTATCGTCTTTGGAAATTTTAGTAAAGTTTGTAAAATGACCGTTCGGTAAGATATTTCGTACTATTACTCGCGAGATAGTTCGTACTGTAACTGCAAAATCGGCTACTTAATCCGCTCAAAATAAATTGCATTTGAGTTGAATCATAACTTTTAGTATGAACGAGGCGTTAACAGACAATACGGACATCACTTTGTACTTTGCTTAGCTTGTGTGGGAGTTTACCGAAAAAAATCAATATTAATTTCTTTTTTTGAAATTTTTATCAAATTTTTAACTACATTATTCAAAAGTTTTTTCAAATACAATAAAGGGCTGCCAAAACCGGCATACGAGAATATTTAAATTTTTGCAAATTTTCACGGCCAGAGGAATTGGCATCTGTAAATTGAAACTTTACTTCTTTGAGTTCAATCTGGAGGCGTTTTTTCAATATGAAGAGAAAAACTTGGTTTTGAAAACCAATTTACTCAAACCAATCATTCGGAAAAACAGTTGTCTAAGATGTAACGTGTTTTCCAGGAGTCTACTTTACTTTGAATTGTAACAGAACTGTAAGAAAACAATACAGCTGCGACCACAAATCCAACATTAGTCGCAAATAAATACAGTGGGTGAAGTCTTTTTTAGAAACTGAGTTTCCCATCATTACGCTCACAAGTAGCTTTGGCTTACTAAAGAAATTTTGAAAACGAACGCTGAACAAATGGAAATTGTGTCTAATTAAAACACGCAGTGAAAGGAGAAAAAGTTTTTTTTCTCAGTTTTTGTCGCAATTTATTGAATTTCAATGAAGTAAAATTTACGCTCACAAAAATTAGTCACCAGAAACTCGCTTTTTTTCTATTTTCCCCACTTTTTTCAACAAAAGAGTTTGTCAGCTTTCCCAAACCGAAACCTATTTTCTTCTGCCATAAATCAAGATATTCAAATCAGTTTGTAGATACAAAAAAAGTCGTAATGGCAATGAATATATTCAAAAACCGAACAAGATTACTTGTTTCAGGGCCTAGCCTTGATATTCCGACTGCCTTCTAAGATCTATGAAGCAGTATAACTTAAAAAAAATTAATTGTAAAAAAATAAAATGGAATTTTTTTGTCTAAAATTTGAGATTTGTTTTTGCGAAAAGGATCCAATCAGGCGCCATATAACATACAAAGTGATAGCTTTCACTCCTATTAACAAATCAATTATGGCAAATAAGCTTCTTTCAACCAATTTGGAACGATAACTAGGACGGATTAAATCTCCGCTTACGCGTTAATAGCGCGAAATATATTGCGCGTTAATTGTCCCAAATTGGCCAAAATGGCAATATTTAAACCCCCATAACTTTACGAAAAATAATCACAGGTGAAATATCTTTTCAAACTCAAGCTCAGGACAACAAAATCTTTTGAATGATATTTGTAAAATTTGTCAAAAATGGCTAGTTAAAAAGTCAAATTTTGTTTGAAGAAAAAAAACCGAGCACAAATCTTCCGTTAGATTCTTTACGAAAGTTCGAACAATAAAAAAAGTCGTAAGGTTTCACTTTCCGTAGACTGCATGATGATTTTTCCAGATGTTCCAACTGTGGAATAGAGTGCTGAATATTTGTGTTCGGGGTGTGTTTTTTCTCTCTTGGCAAAAAGTCTCTCATGAGTTTTTAAGTGGCCCATCTGGCGGCATTTTTAATATTATCTCAAAGCTATTGATGTCTTAAGCTCGATTTTTGAAAAAAACTAATCAACTCGAGATTAGTTTTTGCAAAGTTATGAGATTTTAAAAATTGCCAGTTTGGCCAACTTGTGATATTTAAGTTGCGATGTAAACCGTTCTATTAACGCGTTAGCGGCAATTTAACCCTGCTCAGAAATTTTTCAAAATTAATTTTTTCTTTTTTCGAAGTAAATGGAATGTTTATGCTCGGTATTTTTTTATTCAGACAATTTTCATCGATCGAAACAATAATTTTCAACAAACTTTTTTATATCCAATTAAATATATTGACTTCCTGAATTCAAATGTAAAAATTTATTTCATCTCCGACTTTTTTTGTAAAATTTGCCAATTTTGCCATGTTCTGGACTAAATTTTGTGCGCTTTGAAAAGTTTATTATTCATGTTGCTGAGAGCGTAACGCAAACTATTTATGAGTGGCGAATTATCCCGCACAACAGAAGTGTTCCAATTGAATTGAGGATAGCTAATTGGTCATATTAATTTCGTTTTACAGTTTGATATTGACTATAATCTATAAGTTTTCTTAGCTTACTTAAGAAATTTTGAAAACGACCGGTGAACAAATGGAAATTGTGTCTAATCAAAATACGCAGTGAAAGGAGAAATAATTTTTTCTTTCAGTTTTTGTCGCAATTTTTTGAATTTCAATGAAATGAAATTTACGCTCACAAAATTTATTCCCAATAAAATCGGTTATTCCCAATAAACTCAATAAACTTTGTCATCTTTCACAAACCGAAACCTATTTTCTACTGCCAATAATCAAGATATTCAAATCATATTGAAGGTACAAAAAAAAAGTAATGGCAATGAACATTTTTAAAAACTGAACCAGATTGCTTGTTTCGGGGCCTAGCCCTGATATTCCGACTGCCTTTTAAGATCTCTGAAGCAGTAAAATCATTTAAAAATTTAATTTGAATAAAATAAAAAGAAATTTTTTTTTCTACTTTTGAGATTTGTTTTTGCGAAAAGCATCCCCTCGGGCGCTATATAACATACAAAGTGATAGCTTTCACTCCTATTAACAAATCAGTTATGGCAAATAAGCTTCTTCAACCAATTTGGAACGCTTTTTAAGACGAATTAAATCTTCGCATACGCGTTAAGAGCGCGAAATCTATCGCGCGTTAATTGTCCCAAATTGGCCAAAATGGCAATAGTTAAA